GTCTCCTTTTTGGTGATGCTTACCTTGATTAGTGAATTTAGGTGATTATGGCCTGATATCTTCATTATAAAGTTCCCTATTATTCTTTCCTCTAATTGCTTTATCATTCATTGCTAAAGGACCAATGAATCATTTCATGGTTGCCTGAATCATTTATTTTATTAAGAGTTGCTAAGTGATGATTTCTTTTTAAACTTCTTTATTGAGGTACAATTGACATGCAATAAACTGATAAGTGTTGACGTATGTATATACCCACAAAACCATCAACACTATCAAGATAGTGAACATATTCATCATCCCAAGATGTTTCCTCTGCTCCTTTGTATAACTGAAATTTTCATAATAAAAAGTTAAAAAAAAAAAGGAAATATTTATGAGGCAGATGAACAGAGCGTGGTGATTGAATGCTGAGTATTATTACTGAGGAAAAGGTCTGGAGTGACTCCTAAGTTTGTGGTATGAGCCACTGAATAGGTGGTGGTAACATTTATTGAAACCGGAGCACTTGAGGAGAAATTTGGCAGGTTCAGTTTTGTATAGGTTAAGTTTGAGGTCACAATAGGACACTCAAGCAGAGATGTCAAGTAGGCAGGTGTTAAATTAAAAGTCTGGACTAGAGATCCAAACTTGGGAATACTGTATATAGTAACTGAAGCCAGAGAATGGAAATTAGCAAAAGAGTAAGTATAGAGTGGGGAGAAAAAAGAGTTTAGGAAAGAAAAAAACCCGAAAAATGTTTAATGATCAGGTAGAAGAGGCAAACAGCTTGAGAGGAAGGAGGAAAATGATAAGTGCACAGCATGGCAGAAGCTGAGGGAAAATAGGAGAACATGCCAGCTGTACTGACCCCAGTACATCATACTCTATGAATTTTACTTCTCACTAAAAATGAATACATTGGTTTATATAGTACTGAATGTGGGTATCCTCCTGAAAGATGTGTGTCACCTTCAGTGCATTAATAAAATGTAAGTTTCTGAGCCTGCAGAGCTGAGGACCAGACTATGGAATGTGACAAATTGACTAACCTTGTGAGGACTCTTGGTAGCTAAACGGCTAGCCTTGTCTGATGACTTCTAAGCCTAAGGAAGTCTTTCTTTTAGGCATTTATAATATTTATTAAATTTAAAATGAGTAATATTAAAATAAACTACTTTGTATTGTATATTATTGGCCTATCTAATATTAGTGGGAAAGTTATAGTAAAACCAAACTTTTTATCCTATAGATTAAGCAGGGTGAAAAAAACACAGCATCAATTTCACTTGAGGACATTGGTTCAGAAACAAGGCAGTTTCCTTAATTAAGACAGTAGTATTTTCAATGTTTCTTCCAAGAATTAGGTGGAATTCTCATCTTTGATTTGTTGTTGTTGTTAGGTGCTGTAGAGTTGGTTCCGACTCATAGTGACCCTATGTATAACCGAATGAAACATTGCACCATCCTCACAATCGTTGCTATGTCTGAGCCCACTGTTGCAGCCACTGTGTCAATCCATCTTGTTGAGGGTCTTCTTTTTAGCTAACCCTGTACTATACCAAGCATGATGTCCTTATCCAGGCACTGGCCCTCCTGATAATACGTCCAAAGTATGTAAGACGAAGTCTCACCATTCTCCCTCCTAAGAATTCTGGCTGTACTTCTTCCAAGACAGATTTGTTCATTCTTTTGGCAGTCCGTGGTATATTCAATATTCTTCACCAACACCATAATTCAAAGGCATCAATTCTTGTTCAGTTGTCCTTATTCATTGTCCAGCTTTTGCATGCACATGAGACAACTGAAAATACCCTGGCTTGGGTGAGGCACACCTTAATCCTCAAAGTGACATCTTTGCCTTTTAACACTTCAAAGAGGTCTTTTGCAGCATATTTGCCCAATGCAGTATGTAGCCTGATTTAGATATATATTATTTATAATATAGTAGTCTTCCTGTTTGTCACAGGATCTTAGCATGGGAGGGAATCTGGCTCATTAACGACTTCAACCTCCCCTAAACGTGGGAATCTTGTCTTTAAAATTCCTAGCAGATGATTCTCCAACCACTGCTGGTAAGCACAGGGAATTCAGAGTACTTTGCATGACTATATGGTAGCTCTTCCTTTTAGACATTTCCATATTGAAGATCATAAGAATAAGCTCCCTTCTTCGGTGTTTGAGATATAATAGGGTTCTTTTTCAGGGCCCTCTGAGAAAAGGATAAAGAAAAACAATCCATAGTTTGAATATCTTACATATTTTAGGTTTTTAATGTTTGTTGAATGAAAGGATGTATCAATCAATAAAATAATGTCATTTAACTTGTTCTGAAAAGTTGACCATATACTATTAACCTAGTAAGAACTGTTAGAAGAATCACGGAATTCTTTTAACATTAGAATCCTTTATCACCCAAACATTAATATCTTTAGGAATAGATTTGATATCCATGAACTGGTCTTGAACAAACATGCAACTGTGTTAAATTCCACAGACTTTTTTTTTTCCTCAAGAAAATCTGATGGACACGAGATTTGTTTCCTCCTTCCTTCCATACTGCTGGGGGTGGCTGGTGGTGACAAGAGCAAAATATGAGAAACAATGTATTGTGTTGGAAAGGGAACTGCCATTGGAATCGGAGAGACATGATTCAAATCCACTTCTATTATTTCTTGAGTGTGTGATCTTGGGCTATTTACTTACTCTTCAGTCTCAGTTTCCTCATTTCAGAAATGAAGATAATGCTTACTTAGCAGAATTACTGTGAGGATTGTACAAGTTAAGGAGTAGAACACATGGAACACAGCAACTGTGATAATTGTAGCTATTACTTTTACATTTGAGCAACCATTTCAAAAAACATTCACCAGGAAAAAAATATAAGAATGCTATGTTTAATTTCGTTTTTATGTATTTTTTAATTAAATAAAAATGGAAAGCCAAGAGAGGATCAAGTAAGGTTTAAAAAGTAAGGAAAAAGTGAAAGTCTGAAAATTTAGAAAAAAGGCAAGGGTTGTAGTAAATAGATTGTATGATACTAAAAAACCTCTCTCTAATTTAAGATATACAAATCATTGCATGTCATTGTATGCCCAAATTCATTCAATAAACATTTACCACTTAAGATCTAGGCACAGTTCTAAGTACTTAAGACCAAAAAAGCATAAATTCTTGCCTTCAAGGAAACAGACAAGTAAACTGACAATATAATAAAATGTGGTACGTAGAATTAAAGAGTACAGAATACAGAGTATTATGGAAGAACACAGAAAGGTGTTTAACCCAGCCTGAAGACTGGCATCTGAAATAGAAATTGACAAATGTTTTCCAAAAAGTTGCATATCAGAATCTAACTCTGAGATTTATTAATAGTAATTATGGTAGGAAATGATAGAAGGAACTAGTTTTTTTAAAAAAGTAATTCATATCTAGGAGCCTTGGTGGCACAATGGTTAAGTACTTGGCTGCTAACTGAAAGGTCAACAGTTTGGACCCATCAGCGGCTCTGAAGAAGAAAGACCTGCTGATCTGCTCCCATACAGATTAAATCCTAGGAAACCCTATGAAACAGTTCTAGTCTGTCATATAGGGTTGCAATGAGTCAGAATTAACTTGACAGCACATAACAACAACAGCAATTCATATCTACATCTGAAAGGAAGGGAGGAGGGAAATAAAGAATTACAGATTAGGAGGGAGGACGATTTCCTCAGTTTCTTCATCACTGGATTTTCCATTTCTTGAATTAGCTTCAAATTTTCCTACTTCTGTGCTTTTGTTCACATTATTACTTTGACCTGGATAATCAGTCAATATTCCTTTAGATTAAAATATGTACACATAACAAACTGGGTTGATTGAACTAAATTAGAAAATGCTTTCATACTAATAAATAGAGTTGAAAATAAAATAGATGTTTTCTTCTAGTATTTTAGAAGGTGATTTAGGAGATAATATTGGAGCCATTATTCCCTGTCCTTGAGCATAGAGAATGTGACCCAGCTGGAGCTGGAATCACAAAAACTCAAAAGGACACATCAACTGGGCCCTGAGATATAAAGACAATAGCTAGGACAATCTTAGAAAATATCTTTTAGGGAACATTTCACATAAACCAAACAAAAAGAAAACAAAAGACATTTCACTCTTATCTTTTTCTATTAGCATTTAGTGACAATTCAAAATGCAGAATCACTGGGGTCGGGCAGTTTCTAGCCAATCTGTGAAAAGGTAAAACTTTCAGTGGTTTTGTCCATTTCGTAAGATTAATATATACCAATGACTCTGTAATGTTCCTCGGACTCCAGCAGACATGGCTCTGGCAGCAGGGTTGTCCGTTTTGCACTTTAGTCTGTTCTGTGATATTCCTTCTGGCTGGGGCAGACATGGCTCTGGCAGCAGGGTTGTCCGTTTTCCTCGGGCTCAGGCAGACATGGTTCTAGCAGCATGCTTGTCCGTTTTCCACCTCTGTCTGTTCTGTGATATTCCTCGGGCTCAGGCAGACATGGTTCTAGGAGCATGCTTGTCTGTTTTCCACCTTTGTCCGTTCTGTGATATTCCTCGGGCTTGGGCAGACATGCCTATGACAGCAGGCTTTTCCGTTTCCCCCTTTTGCCTCTTTGAACATATGCCGAATAAAACCTTGTTTTTTGCCTTACTAAACTTTGTGATGTTTTTACACTAGAACAAAGGAAACATTAAAATTATATCTTCAAGTTAATTTAGTTTTAATGAACTATAAAGTCATCCTGGATTTAAAATGCATGCCTGAGAAACCTTTGTTGCAGAAAGTCATATATTGTAAGATGTATTCAAATGAAACAAACAGAGGGGATGAGACTAGGATTTTTAGGCCAAAAATAAATGTTTGAGCATATATTATTATCAAAGGATTTTCCCAGACTCAACTAATGGCACAGTATTGTGACTTCAAAGAACACAACAAAGAGACAGTATTCTTTTCTCATATCTACAGGGATAATCATTGATATGTATATCACTGGTTCTTCACTGGGGGGGGTGGTTTGCCACTTGGGGGACAGGAGACATTTTTTGCTTGTCACAAATGGCGACGGTTGGTTTGCTACTGGCATCTGGTGGTGAATGGCCAGGATGCTGCTAAAAATCCTACAATGCACAGGACTGCCTCCCATCCCATGCACTCCCTACCCCTCACCGAACAAAGAATCATCTGACCTAAAATGTCAATAGTGTCAAGGTTGAGAATATATATCAGGTTAAAAAATACATAAACAAACACACACACAGAGTCACAATCTTCCTTCCTCCCTCTCTCTCTTTTTAAAATTATGGAACTTAAATAAGAAAGGGAACACATCTAATGACAAGAAATTTTATCCATTCTGCATCTGGACCAGCATTATTTTGACCGATTTAACAACAGACTTTCTGCCAGATTTTTAGTTGACCAATGGGATAGCAGACTTTCTACCAAATTTTATTGGTGAATAATAATATAAAATATAAGGAAAAACAGAGCCCAGAGAAAGAATGACCAATCCATATCCATCAATATGGTATCTGACCACCATTATTAGATACTTGAGATGACTTCTAGTCAGTTCACAAATGATTCTTAATTTTTTAAAACGTAAAACATCTTAGTATTTGTTTTATGACATTTAAAATTTTTAATTTATATAGTCTAGAAAATACATATCTAACTACATATTTATAAGCCAGACACTTTAAAATGTACTGTGTACAATGTAACAATTAGGAAAGCTCCAAAATGTAAATCATAAATACAGTATAATTGATTTATTCTGTATCAAAAAATAGACAAAACCAAATAGAAAGTATACTACCTTTTGTATTTTGTATATTTTAATTATTGTCAAAATATGCTAATTTAACATTAAACTTCTAAATTAGTTATTTAAAAAAAGTCAGGTACATGATTAAGATAAGCTTTTTTCCATCAGAAAAAGAAATTCAGAGTAAACAAAGACATTGCAAATACGTCCAAAATTCTAGGTCTTCATCTTTACTTTCTTAGACCATTCAGGTGCTTCTTTTTTGGTCTGTTAAAAAAAAAAAAAGAAAATCAAGTAAAATGTTTACAAGTAGGACAAGAGAGGCAATTCACAGAACTAAGTACATACATTGAGGCTTTTTATGTAAAACTTTAGTAAAAAATTGCTTTTCTTAAACCAAAAGGACGCTTAAGCCAAAGGTTTTGTCCTTTAACAGAAATAATCTGGCATGTATGTAGAAGAAAACACATCTGTGGTTTTTTTTTTGCTCAAAGTCTGTATTTAACATATTCTACAAAGGTTAGTATTTTATGAACTGATTCTATTTTCAAAGAAAATTATAAAAATCAAGGACATAACTTCTTTTTAGTTGTCTTATCTTTATAGATATGGCTATCCATCCACATAATAAATATTTACTGAAGAATTACTATGTCCAAATTATTTCATTTTAGATCTTCTGACTTGCTAAGCATTTACCAGAGTGCTTCATTTCTTGCTTAATCATGTCAGCTTGAAAAAGTGCCGGGCTGTAGAGAATACTAAAACAAAACAAAAAAGCCCAAACAACTGGCGGGGGCGGGGTGGGGTGGGGCTGTTTCGGGATAAAGCATTCAGAATTCCTTATATAAGGCAATGGATTCCAGTCAAAGCATCCTATTTTATACAATAGATTCTTGTTGCTGTTAGTTGCCATTGAGTCAGCTCCAATTCATGTCAACCTTATGTACAATAGAATAAAATGTTGCCCCATCCTATAGTAAACTACAGTCAATTAAATACACAGTTTACTCCTTTCTCACTTATATCTGCTTAAAACTATGAAGGACCACATTCCTAAATATATATATTTGACTATGTGGATTATTACAAATTATAGATAACCTTGCAAAGAATGGGAATTCCAGAACACTTAATTGTGCTCATGCAGACCTTGTAAATAGACCAATAGACAGGCATTGGAATAGAACAAGGGCATACTGCGTGGCTTAAAATCAGGGAAGGTGTGTGTCAGGTTTGTATCCTTTCACCATACTTATTCAATCTGCATGCTGAGCAAATAATCTGAGAAGCTGGACTATATGAAGAAGAACACGACATCAAGATTGGAGGAAGAGTCATTAACAACCTGTGGTACGCAGAGGACACGACCTCACTTGTGGAAAGCAAGGAGGACTTGAAGCACTTACTGATGAAGATCAAAGTCTACAGCCTTCAGTATGGATTACATCTCACCATAAAGAAAACAAAAATCCTCACAACTGGACCAATAAGCAACATCATGATAAATGGAGAAAATACTGAAGTTGTCAAGGACTTCATTTTACTTGGATCCACGATCAACACCCATGGAAGCAGCCGTCAAGGAATCAAATGATATTTGCACTGGGCAAATCTGTTGCAAAAGACCTCCTTAAAGTGTTCAAAAGCAAAGATGTCACCTTGAGGACTAAGGTGTGCCTGACCCAAGCTATGGTATTTTCAACCGCCTCATATGCATATTAAAGCTGGACAATATAATAAGGAAGACCGAAGAAGAACTGATGCCTTTGAATTAGGGTGTTGGTGAAGAATATTGAATATATCATGGACTGCCAGAAGAATGAACAAATCTGTCTTGGAATAAGTACAGCCAGAAATGTTCCTTAGAAGTGAGGATGGCGAAACTTTATCTCATATACTTTGGACATGTTATCAGTAGGGATTAGACCCTGGAGAAGATATCACACTTGGTAAAGTAGAAGGTCAGCGAAAAAGAGGAAGACCTTCAACAAGATGGACTGACACAGTGGCTGTAGCAACTGGCTCAAACATAGCAATGATTGTGAGGATGGCACAGGACTGCACAGTGTTTCCTTCTGTTGTACACAGGATAGCTGTGAGTTGGAACCGATTGGACAGCACCTAACAACAACCCTTTGGAGCCCTGGTAGTGTTGTGGTTAAGAGCTCAGGCTGCTAACCAAAAGGTCGGCAGTTTGAATCCACCAGTCACTCCTTAGAAACCCTGTGGGGCAGTTCTACTCTGTCCTGTAGTGTTGCTATGAGTTGGAATTGACTAGACAATCGGTTTGGTTTTTTGGTGTATACACACAGATACATACATACACACACATATATGCGTGTGTGTATATATATATAAACATACATAAGCAAATCGGTATAGAGATAAGTACAATTCCTTATACATTATCTTTTCTATATTGTTTTATATGTTACAGCTGATACACAAAATGTTGGAAGCAACATTAGTGATCAGCGCCTCTGAACTTATTCATGACTGTGGCCAGCTAAAATTACCAACTAAATAAGCCAGGGGACCCTCTCTTCCTCCCTCATTCAATAAACCCGTATCTCTAACTTGAGCTACAAATACTTTCACATGGATGGTCCCCACAGACAACTAAAATTCCGTATGTTAACGTGAACTCCCCAGCTCCTCCATATTCTCTGTTTTGAGGAACGGTATCATTATTTACTCAGTCACTTAAACCAGTGACATCTTAGATGTCTCTCCCTTTTTACCTACTATATCCATTCTAAACAGTCCCTAAATTCTATAAAAAAAAAAAAATTCTTTTTATTGTGGTCATATATATATATATATATATAAGATTTTGCCATTTTAACAATTTTTAAGTATACAATTCAGTGGCATTAATTAAATGTTGTACAACTAACACCTGTTTGTTTCCAAAACTTTTTCATTACCCAAAACAGAAACTCTGGGCCCATTTCTCCCTCCCTCCAGCCCATGGTAAACACTAATCTACTTTCTGTCACTATGAAGTTGCCTTTTCTAGATATTTCATATAAGTAGAACCATACAATATTTGTCTTTTTGCTTCTGGCTGTAGAAAGATACTTCCATGGGCAAAATAAGGAAGTCATTCGGAAAAGGCCAGGTGCCGTCTATCAAGAGAATTCAAAAGTGGCTGAAGCTAACCAAATCCAAAAGAAACCAAAGTACAGGCCAGAATGCTAGTTTACTAACTAGTGATGAGAAATAAAGTCATCATTTGGTCAGGAAAGTCTTGCCAGTTTTATTAGTGCTTTATTTGTATTTTTGTTTTTTATAGTTACAGAATATAAGGAAAAGTCTTAAGAGTAAAACAGGATTGCTTGGTTCTCTCACATAATCTAAAAAGTTTGGGTGATTGGAAAAGACGTATCAGTGAAAAGTCTAAGACTCTCAGTATTCCCAGTCATAGAAGAACGTCTATGCTGGCGTTTTTCAAATGCAGGTCTCTACCTATGGGTTACAAAATCAATTTAGTGGGTAAAGACAAGAATTGAGAAAAAATAGACCAGAAATATCAGAGTACCTGCCATAGTAAGGGTAACTTCTGGTTTGAGAAACTGTGTGATCATCACTTGGTCACAATATAAAATGGTTTTCTTAACTGTGGATCCTAGACAAAATAATTTGAAAACAACTTCTATAGTCCAAGTTACACATCCTCAGGATTACAGCAAATGGTACAGAATTTGTTTGTACATTTTCATTTTCTTAATCAAATGATATGAAAAGTTTTATTACTATTATATTTGTATGGGGAGAGAGTAAATAAAAACTTGATATTAAAAAGGAGCCATGGTACTCAAAAAAAAGGAGCCCTGGTGGTGCAGTGGTGTTTGGCTGCTAATCGAAAGGTTGGCAGTTCGAACCCACCCAGAGGCTCCCCAGATCACCTGGTGATCTGCTCCTGTAAGGATTTTAGCCTAGAAAACCCTACGGGGCAGTTCGACTCTGGCCAATGCGATGTGTATTGAAGATGCTGGCCAGAACTTATGGGAAAACTCCTTTAAATGTGAGATGGTCTTTCCGCCACCTCTTCCTCTTGCTTCCTGCTCAGAATGCAGAAGTGATGGCCGAGGCTATAGCAACCATACTGTGAATCTGAGAACAGAAGCCACACAACACCAAGGATGGTTGAAGAGAAAGGCAGAAGGAATCCAGGTCCCTGATAAATTCATAAAGCCACATTCTGTTGCCATCAAGTCGATCCTGACTCATAACAACCCTATAGGACATAGTAGAACTGCCCCATAGGGTTTCCAAGGAATGGCTGGTAGATTCCAACTGCTGACCTTTTGGCCAGCAGCAGAGCTCTTAACCACTGTGCCACCAGGGCTCCATAAGGCCACATACCAGCCCTGAAATGCTTATCTCCAGGCCTTTATCTGAGAGACTAAACAATTTGCTTAACTCGCTGAACTAGCAGTGGAACACAATTCCTAAAGATGCTGGCTTTTATCCTCAAATAATTTACAGTGTTTATCTTGTTTAATGTTGTATCTTTAGTACACAGTAAAATGCCTGGTCTGTAGTCCATGCTTCCTTTGACTTTTTATGGTTTTGAGCAGAATACAGCACAATGGTTAAAGCATAGGCTCTGGAATGAAACAGGCTCTAGCCATTTACTAACTTTGTAAACTTGGGGAAGTTAATGACTTCTCAGTTACTTCACATGTAATATGGAGATAACAAAAAATATCTGTGCTGGATATTCTATGTGTTCTCAGATTTATTCTCCATTCTTGTCGATCCTGCTCTGTGCCCCAGAAGGCTGTAAGCCTTGCCTTCTGGTTTCTGGTTAGGTTCAGTCAATAGGAGGCACAGCAAGTTTGTAGGTGGGAGAGGAAATGAGGGTATTTATTCCCCAGCTCTTTCTTTGCCTGGCCACGGTTCGGTAGTGATTAAATTCTTCTATGGAAGACCAAAGTTTCCATAAGGAGGCCCCACTCCCTTGCCATTGCCCTTCAGGCCTAGGAGTGGTACAGCTACATTTTATGCATGTGTTAACTTACACTTTGATGGATTAAATGATCTACTAAGGTTACTAAGTACAACCAGAATGGTCTTTAGAAGCAAGGATGGAGAGACCTCGTCTCACGTATTTTGGACATGTGATTAGGAGGGACTAGTCCGTGGAGGAGGACATCATGCTTCGTAAAGTAAAGGGTCAGTGAAAAATAGGAAGACCCTCAATGAGATGGACTGACACAGTGGCTGCAACAATGGGCTCAAGCACAACAGCAACTGTG